TTTCCCCCACTCCACTTTGTATCCCTAGATGTGCTCTCTCCCTCTGCAAGTCCAACACACCACTATGGAAAGACTCATATTTTCTGAGGGATTTTTAAAGAGGAGGTTGAAGGAATGGAAAGCAGGAGGGGAGGATGTGATCTGTGGACACTAAGTGTAAGGGGCCAGGTGCAAATTCTTGTCAAGGCTCCATCTGGCTTCTGTTCTCATCCCTCATGTTATCTTAGGGTCCTACAGGATTTTGATTTTGCTTCAGGGTGGAACCAACACAGCTCTATTGATGTCTTCCTTGGTTTCTTGGGGTCTGCATAGTACGTATCTCATAGGACGTCTGGCTGACTGGAAAACAACTTTATGTCAATGTGAATAATGTCATCCTGCCCTGTAACCAAGTTTCAAAATATCAAATAACCATGGGGAAAAAGGGAACTCAGAGAAATGCGTGCTAAGAAAAAAAACCCAAAAACTGTATTTTTAAAAATCTTCCTACAGCCCATGTGGTTTTAGATTCCAACATAGCTTCAGTCCTGCTCACTCCAATACATTGCTGATGCGAATGGCAAAATCTCATTCTTTTTATGGCAGAGTAGTATTCCATTGTGCATAGATATGGTCCATGGACAGTTAGGTTGTTTCCAACTTTTGGCTATTGTAAATAGAGCTGCAATAAACATGGGAGTGCAGGTAACCCTTCGACATGGTGATTTCCATTCCTTTGGGTATATACCCAGAAGTAGGATTGATGGATCATATGGCAGATCTATCTGTAGTTGTTTGAGGAAGCTCCATACTGTTTTCCATAATGGCTGCCCTATTTACATTCTCACCAGCAGTTTAGGAGGGTTCCCTTTTCTGCATATCCTCACCAGCATTTGTTATTCTCTCTCTTTTTGACAATAGCCAGTCTAACTGAGGTGGTATGATATCTCAATGTGGTTTTGATTTTCATTTCCCTGATGATTAGTGATGCTGAGCAGTTTTTCGTGTACCTGTTAGTCATTTGTATGTCTTCCTTTGAAAAATGTCTATTCATCTCCTTTGCCCATTTTTAAATTGGGTTATTTGGGTTTTTTTACTAAGTTGTTTGAGTTTATTGTATTTACTAAGTTGTTTGAGTTTATTTATTATTCTGGATATTTATCCCTTGTCGGATGTATAGTTTGCAAGTATTTTCTCCCATTCTGTAGGTTGTCTTTTCATTCTGTTGATTGTTTCATTTGCTGTACAGAAGTTTTTCGTTTGGTATAATCCCATTTGTTTATTTTTTTTTCTTTTGTTGCCTGTGCTTTTTGAGGTCTTATTCATAGACTTTGGGTGGCTCAGAGATTTATGGGACTGGTGTCATGTAACAGATACCACCCCTTTATATAGAACCTACAGTGCTTCAGACACTGGACCCGGTGCTCTACATTCACGGTTTCTAATCATTATAATCTTTCAAGTTATATATTATCCTGTGAAAGAAAAAAATGTACGAGGTATGAGAATTCTCAACCTCTCCTACCAACCCCAGTTCCATTCCTGGGCTTTCAATGAGCTGAAATGGAGTAGTGACTGACAGGATAAGATTGAAAGGATGTAAGACCTGCTTGGCTGATTTTCACTGGAAAGGGCAGAGAGTTACTGGTGGGAGAGAAAAGAGGAAATCCAGAAGATGAGAGGAAAGGAGAATAAAAGGAAAGAGCTGTCTCCAGATGGTTTGAGGTCATTTGAACAGTTAGAGTGAGAGAATGTGAAATTATGGGAAACATATATGGAGAGGGGAAGGGAAATTTTAAACATATTTTTAAATTGAAGCCCTTTTTAGCATTTTTGAAAGGATTCAATAAATATTTGAATTTATTTTCAATTACTTTTTGATATTGAGCTGGATGAAACACTGGGCTGAAATGGTCCAGCTTCATATGGGTTGAAGTCCACATTTTAATATGAAGAAACTGACACTGGGTTAGGTTAAAAAACTTGCAGTAGCTTGAAAACATATATATGTATGTGCATATAATATATACATTACTTGCGTATACACATGTGTATGTGTTTTTTTTTTTTCATAGAATGTGAAGAGAGACAAAACCAGAAACCAAGACAAAGAGAGGGTTTTGTGCTTTCATTTCTAGTAATATGACGGAGTAGATACCCTGAAATAAATAAATAACTTAAATAATTAATTAGCTGAGCTGACAAGAAGTTAGTGAAACTCTTAGAATCCAAAAACAGTGAGAAAGAAAGAAGAAATGGAAAATCTGAATAGTTTTATAGCCATTTGAGTAATTGAATCGGTGTTTTTAAAGTTTATCACAAAGACAACAACTCCAGATGATTTTTCAGACAAGTTTTACAAAATATTTAAGGTACAGATAATTCCAGTACTGCATAAACTCTCCAAAGGATGAAAGCTGAGGGAATACTCCTCAAAACACTTGATGAAATCGAAGTTACCATTCAGTCAGGACCAGACAATGACAGCAAGTGAAAGGATAATCACATCACATTTATAAATATTTTTGCAAGAATCATAAAATATTAACCAACAAAATACAGAAATGTATAAAAAAGATAATATATCATGACCAAGTTTGGATCATCTGAAGAGAGCAAATTTGGTGTAATGTTAGAAAACCTGTTTATGTAACTTATTAACAATAAGAGATTAAAGGAGAAAAAAGCTTATAAGTATCTCAATAGTGCAGAAAAAGCATTGAACAGAATTCAACGTTAATTTAATGTTAAAAAAAACACAGCTAAGTAAACTAGAAATGGAAGGAAAACTTTTTAACTTTATGAAGGGAATCTACAAAAAAATGGCACTAAATAACCTGGTTACCTGTGAAACTTTAAGAAGTAATCTATGTAAATCAGGGACAAAACAAGGATGTCTACCACCGTCATTTCACCTCAGCACTGTTGTAGAGGTGCTAATTTGCAAAAAGACAAGAAAATAGAAACAGATAAGAAAATAGTAATTATAAGGATTGAAAATTAAAGAATAGAAAAAAAAAACCCGTCATTTGCTAATGGGCTGTTGGTTGGAATATTACTTCCAAATATTCATTCCTCCCTGTAATGGGGATTATACACGCTCATCCAGTTTTAGGTGCATTACCCATAAGTTGTACAGGGAGGGTTTAAGTGCCCTCCTTCCTGACTCTGGGCTTGGCCATGCCACATGCTTTGGCCAGTGGGACTTGTTAACGTGATTGTACATGATTGACTTGGCTTGCCTTTGCTCCTGCCCTTAGCTGTGAGAACAGTATGTGCTCAATAGTCACCACTGTTTCAGGTTGGACCCTGGAGACAGGAGACATGCAGAAGACAGCTGAGCCCAGCAAAACCCAGACAAATTGCAGTCTGCCACAGCTTTAATCTAATGCAGGCAAAAAATATTTTTTGTGAACTATGCAGCAAAAACTTATTGATAAATACATGGGTGATATGAATGTCTACAAAGAAAACCCAAAAGAAGCTACAGATGAATTTTTAAAATGAATAAGAGTTTAGCAGTGTTCAAAATTGCTTTTCTATTCACATTTCTAATCTCCAGCAGCAAACTGTTCAAAACGTAATTTAAAAATGCTGTTTACAGTACCACTAAAAATATGTTAGCTAGAAAAAAATTTAAATATGCAGAACCTTTGTGGAGAAAATTATAAATCCTTATTGAAAGACATTTTAAAAAACCTAAATAAATGGAGATGACCTTGCTTGTGAATAGGAAAACTCATTATATAAATGTCAATTCTTTCCAAATTGATCCATAGATTCAAAGCAATTCCAATCGAAAGTCCAACATTTTTGTTCATAGAATTTGATAAATTATCTAAAATTTATATAGACAAACAAATGGCAAAGAATAACCAAGACAATTATAAAGATACGCTAATGACAGCCAGATCTGTTTCTGCTTCTCATTTGAGCTTGAGATTTATCTTCAGTTGCCTTCTAGTCTTTGCACAATATAATGTACACTGAGTAGTAATAGTTCTATTTATACAAATAACGTTTATATAGATATCTCAAACTCATCATGACCTAAAATGAAGTCACCATGGCTATTTCAAGGCTGTTTCGTCTGTTATATTTCTTGAGCTGCCCAACGGCCCTACCATCTTCCCAGGCACCATAGCTAGAAATTTGGGAGTCATCTAATGCTGTTCCTTTTTGCGTCATAATATCTACCCAGTCACTTAACCACTTTCCATCACTACTGCCATTGTCTTAGTTCTGGCCTTCACCCTTGCTTGGACTTTTGAAATGGCCTCCTAAATACTCTTTGTCTCCCGTCTTTCTTTCCCAAACTATTTTCCACAGAGTGACCTTTTGAAATCTGATCATCTCAGCCCTTGATTAAAACACATCATCTTCAGAATAAAATCCAAATTCCTTTATGATTTGTCTTCTTTCTTCTGCCCATCTCTCTTCATAATTCCATGTGCATTTTTTACCCCAAGATAGTAGTTTCCTTGCAGTTCTTCAAGCATTCCAAGCTGTTTCTCTGCTCTTCTACCTGGAATAGCCTTTCTTGTCCTTCTCTCCCTTCTATTGATTAACTCCAACATATACTGCAAGACCCAGCTCAAGTGCCCTTCCCTGGTAGAACCATCCCTGATCCCACCCCACTCTCATATGTGTAAAGTTGTCTTCCTCCAGAGCATTTCTTGTCACATTGCAATAATTTATTTTCTAGTCTCTTCCCACATGAGATTATGAATCTGTTTAGGATACAGACTGTATGTTGTTTGTACTTGACTATTTATGTCTTAGATGATCATGAAATGTTTGTCCACTCTTTGCACTTCTCATTAAATGTCAACTCTAGGACATAATTGGTGAATCTGTGTGTGTGTATAAAAAGTTCTTCCTGAAAGCAATTTTCACGACAAAAAGTTGCTCATTGGCCATGTAGTTTTCAATGAGTTTTGTTAGATCTGTTCATGAATGTAGTTCCTGGTGGCATGGCTTAAAAGGCATGTGTAATCTGCTGAATTTTATTTTTATTTCAGTTAAAAAATCTGGATCCGTTTTTACTGTTTGATGAATTTAAAGGAGGTCGACCAGGTGGATTTCCTGATCACCCACATCGAGGTTTTGAAACAGTAAGTACAGTAATTTGACTGCAAAAGTGTGTATTTTAACACTTTCCTTTAAAATGTGATTTTAGAAGCAATGAATAATAGGCTAAAATAGGCTAAATGTGATTTTAGAAGCAATGAATAATAGGCTAAAATTAATTTACAAGTTTCTGGCTGTAGACTGTCTACCATAGAATTATAATATCTATTTTACATGAAATATACTAAAATTTAAACAATTATTGTTTTTAATATTCTTGGAGTTTGTGCCTTTGGAGACATTCTTCTTTGAAAAGTTAATAAAGAGCAAGATTTGGCCTCTTAAAATATTTTTATAATTAAAATAATTGATTGGAGATAGAAGAAACTATTTGAGATATGATTAAAATAATCTTATATAGAAAATTTGTTTCTATGCAATATTCAGAAATGTTTAACCTCATTTAACGCAATATTATAAACCCCCAAAGACAATCCAAGAACTTTATGAGTATTTATACTAGGTTCTAAGGAAATATAGAATCGAGAACTAAAATATAACATAGCCCCCAAGTTAGGATTTTGAGGCCCTACATACACATTCACAAGTTTAATTGTATAATTTAGAGATTCTGCTGAACACTAATTTTCAGTTTTAGTTAGATACGCAAAAAAAAAAGTGTGTAATATAATATTGCGGCACTTTCAAAGATTACCATTCTTCACACATTCTGGGAAAGCTCAGGGACAGTTACTTCCTAGTTACAAAATTTAGCCATATGCTCCTGTCTTAGGAAACAGACCAGGATTGGTAAAGGCTTAGTGTGTTTGTAAAGCTAGTTAGTGAATGAGTAAATATTTACTGAGGGCTGGTGATATGCAGGCGTTGGTGTAGTGTGATCTTTGGTATGTTGGGGTGCATGTTGTGTGTTGGGGAGTGTGGGCAGAAGCAGAGGGAAGGAGGCTAAAGAAGAATGAGGTGTGATCCCTGCTTGCTTCTATGTACAGTCTAGTTAAGAGGGTGAAAGATGGACGGAGAAATATGTAACCACTGCAGTGTACAGGTAGAATGAACCAAGAAGCTTCTGGAAGCAGGATCAGGGTAGTTGGCCCGTGTCCCTTCCTCACTCCTCTGCTTTCTTCCTCAGTTCTCTTCTCTGCTCAGACATTGGGGGCGCTGTGGCTTGCTTTACTGCAATAATGGAAGCCATTCCTTTAGCTTACCCTATACCTGTGCTGGATTTGGACCCTGGTTCCATAACATCGCCTCTTGCAATCTTGCTCAAGTTGCTTCTTGTCCTCTCCATCCCTTAGCTCCAGTTACCATCTTACTAATCCTTCAAGGCCTTTTCAGATATCACTATCTCCATCAGGTTTTCCAGACAATACCAAGAGGATGCACTGTCTCCTTCATTTGGCTTCTAGAGCATTATATTTCTACCAGTCTTATGCACCTTATTCCTTTATGGTGGTCTTGATCATATTCTGTCTGTCTTGTGTTAGAGTTGGAAATCGCCTCATCTTCCCCTCACATACCCAAGAGGACTGTCAATTTCTTCAGTTGAGGTCAGCCTACACATCTCCATGTTCTCCATGTGGAGATACTCAGTAACTACTAGCTAAGTTTAATCAGACAATAAAAAGAGATGGTTCTTGTTGAAGACAATGGATATAGTAAACACAACAAATGATGAAACTTACTGCTTTCATTTCCATTACGGAAAGTGCCTTCTAAAGGGACTGTTTTATAAATTATGAGGTACTCAACTTTAAACAACTCTGTGAAGGAGTTCATCTATAGGATATTGGTGTTTGGCTCTTTTTCTTTTGATTAAGAAATTACTTTAAAACTGTAGCTGTAATTACAGTTGAGCCTCAACATTTGTGGATTCTGTACTCACGAATTTCCCTAGTTGCTAAAATTGATTTGTAACCCCCAAATCAGTACTTGGGGTGCTTTAGTGGTAATTCATGGCCATGTGCAGAGTGGTGAAAGATGTGAGTTGCTTGAGGTGCACATTCCCAGCTCAGGCTCAGCAAGGCAATGCCCTGCTTTCCTGTTTCAACTCTCATAATGTTAGCAAGCAAGTGTACTTTTCACAGTCTATTTAGTGCCACATTTTTCATATTTTTGTGCTTTTTGCTGGTGATTTCACTGCTGAAAATGGCTCCTAAGCATAGTACAGCAGTGCTATCTAGTGTCCCTAAGTGCAAGAAGGCTGTAACGTGCCTTACAGAGAAAATACATGTATTAGCTAAGTTTCATTCAAGCAGGAGTTGTACAAGTCTTGGCCGAGAGTTCAATATTAATTAATCAACGATATATTAAATAAGGTGTCTTTAAATAGAAACACACATAAAGTAAGGTCATGTATTGGTTGGTTGACAATAACATTGTGACCAGACACTTGTAGAAACCCAGTCCTGTATTTCCCCTAGGAGTAATGGTTTTGTACTCACTAATTCAGTGATCATAACAACTTTATAGAAAATGACTACTTTAGATAATGAGAATTCACCATATCAGTTTTCCCTGGAAGTATAGGTAAGCCAGGGACTCAACTATCTCTTAATAATGTGAACTTTAAAAGTCTGCAATTTAAAACCAGGTCCACTTGTAGTCTCTCATCACTTCCTCCCTGGTGCATCTTCTAAATTACACAGGCTTGTAAATTTTCAAAATGCTGACTAGTATGAAGAGCAAAGTTTTTGATACCTGTGATGTTATCTTACCATCCAGAAATGACTATTGTTATTGTTTTGATGTATTTTCTTCAAGTACTTTATTTCTGATATAATGTTATGTATATTTTGTGTCGTTTTTTTTTAGTTAATATAGTAGTTAGCATTTTCCCAATATTTTTCAAAAAACTAATTTTCAATGGATTTATTAAGCATCTGCTATGATGGTTGTATCAGTCGACATTATCACAGTGATGTATGAAGTTAGCTGTTTTCCCTCAATATCACCAACACAATGCATTTACTTCATTTTTCTTTGTCATTTTGCGAAATGAAAAATAATGCCTCATCATAGTTTTAATTTACATTTCCCTTATCAGAGAGAGGTTGATTTTCTTTTCATTTTAAAGCATTTGTCCATTGTACGTATTTGTATCCTTGGCTTACTTTTTTTCTTTTGGGTTGTTGGTATTATTGTTTTATAGAAGCTCTTTATATATTAAAGAAATCAGACCCTTTTCAGGAGTAGAAGTTGCAATACTGTTAAGAGGGATTAGGCTTGTTTTGCAAGACTCCAGAGGTAAGCTTTTGGATACAAAGCATAGATTCAAACCAATAGAAGGAAGAACTTTCTAACAATTAGTTATGCAAAGATAGACTAGGCTCCCTGAACCAAGTGATTTTCTTATGCCTGGAGTAAATACAAGCATGCACTGAATGTTTGCATAATGGGTGTGTTATCAGGATCAATGGTCCTCAAAGTAGTCAGTGCTGTGCTGGAGCTCATGTTTATTTTCTTAAGTGAAAGTGAAATTATGCTCTACCGACCCATGAATATAAAATATAATTGATGTACATATTTTGAGTGCATGCTCACATTTTTTAAAACTAATATTGATATGTGATCAAGGAAATGTGGAGAATATTATTCTATAAAATTCTCATTCCCTCAAGTGTGATCCATGAACCAACAGTGGTATCACTTGAAATCTCAGGTACCACCTCAGAGCTACTGAATCAGAATCTGCATTTCAGCAACATCGAATGATTCATACACATTAAAATTTGAATAATGCTGGTCTAGGTGACCTTCCAAATCAGAAGTACTATGATTCTATGACATAAATAAGAGCAAGAACCTGATTTTACTGAGTTAATGGCTAATTATTTTCTTAAACCTAACTCCTAGGTTTGGATGGCTATATATTTTCCATTAAAAACTTGCCTCAAAATTGAGAAAGAAGGCACACCCTGGAGTAGGAGGTGGTCACAAGACAAAGGGAGAAATGCATTCAGTATTTCCTGCCAGGAGCTTGCACTCTGGGAAGGATTGTTTTCAAAAGGCCTGAGTGGTAAAGGGTGGAATAATTTTGCAGTTACCCTATTTCTGGTCAGGCCTGATAGCATGATTTGTTTAGGGCGACTATAAACGATCAGAAACAAAGAACGAGCTGAAAAATGAGCAAGCCCTGCCAAAGTTTAGTTTAGCTCAAAAAAGAGGTGCTTATAGTTCACACACCATGGATAAACCCTTCACCTGCCCTGAGCAGAAATGTATTTTGCGCCTTTCAAAATCACCTCAGGAGTTTCCAGGTTTTAGCACTGAAAGTCTCATGTTTCAGGGAACCCTTCAGTCCTGGGCAGACTGGGATGGTTGGTTACCCACGCTTAATTAAACTTAAGAACTGTTAGAAGTAAACCTTCAGGCCTGTTTCGCAGGGACATTTTAGGATGGTCTTGTCCATTATGTTTTTAGTTAGGCTGGGAAGTGTTTTTTAAAGCTTTTCACTACAAGCCTCAGCAGGTTCTTTGATTTCGTTCAGGAGAACAAAACCTCCCTGTTTCCAAGGGCGTGCCCGTGAGCAAAGCCACACGGGCATGTACTAGTTGGTAGGGGCAGCATTTGCCTGCAGTGCCTGAGCAATATCCTGCACAGGAAGGGAAAGGGACTGGTGATTCACACCTAAAACTTAGGTCCGGATTCAGACCTCCCATTTCCGACACAGCCTGTTTTATTCTAGCTTACTGTGAACCACTTTCAAAAGCAAAACATACTATCAAGACCGAATCAAGGCTGCCAAAAAGGGTGGCCAAATTCAACATCCATTTTGGAAAGAAAGAAAATGCTCTAGGAAGACTACGAAAGGATACTTTTTCAATATCATAAAGACTATTATTCAATGAGCATCTTATGTCATATTTAACACAGAGATATTAGCCATATTCCTATTAATATGAGAAAAAAACACTGTCTACCAGCACCATCACAGTTTGATATGATTCCGGAAGCTTTGAGGCTATTCATAAATAAGAGTTATAGCTATTGGAAAGGAGGAGGAAATTATTTATTTGTAGGTAGTATG